TCAATATAATTTTTAATATAATTTTATATAATCAAATTGGTAATAATTTAGTTATGAGTTTAATGTTTGATTTTGACTTTACCTAACTGTTATTAGTGATGGGTATCAATTGCATTCGACAAAATATTTGTAATAAGTATCACTTGACCTCACACTGAACAAGCTAACAATAAGCTTTACTGAAGACGAATTCTGTACATTTCTAGAATGGACAGCACTTCTTTATCTGGAACAGCTATTGTTCTACGTGAAAAAAAGAATATATTTTATTAGTTTTTTCAAAGATAAATATAATCAAAAGTGACCATTCAAGCTTTACTATTCACCATCAATTTTGGTAACGTATTTTATTTATAAAGCTAAAAATCAATCGTTACAAATTGGCACATATTGAGCAATGTACCCACAGACAGATCAATATTTTACGGGTTGAACAATATATTTCAAAGAACTTTTGATTGACATATATACTATACATATACTACATAAATCCTCAATATTGCTTTCAAATTATCAATAATATTGTGCAATGTCAAATATTTCATAATATTGATTGTTTAGGGGTCGCTTATAATAAAATTAAAAAACCGAATTAGTTTACTAAAAATTTCCTTTTTATAAACATTCTACGCTGTTTTTATAAATACAACTGTTTTTACAAATAAAAACCACATTCTCCTGTTAAAAAATTTTATAATAATTCAATCATAAAACAATTAGTGATTGAATATATTCTGAAATTCAATCGACAATGGTTGTGCTATATAGAATTTAAAAAGATTAATGCATTTTATTATCAATATTTCCACTTTATTTATAATAACTTCCATTTGTTGATTTTTTCACCCCTAAATTTCTTTGCCTGCACAATAAATAAGGTCAGAATCAAAAGAAATATGTTTGCTCTCTTTATTCGCCCTTGTTTGCGTGCTCCTTAATAAGAGCCATTTCGCGCGTCGCAGGACCTTGCAGTCACAGCTTATTTAGCCAGCTGTAAAAACAGATCACATTTCCGTGCTAAAACTAACTTGTGCGAAAGCTGATTCACGCTGCACAAAGTAACTATATCGCTGGATTTGTCTCCTGATTCCACTTTTCAAGTCAACAGCGAGAAACAAATCCTATTTTTGTCATCATTTTAAACAAACAAGATATTTCAATATACACATAAGTCGGCAAATACTAACTAATTGGTCTTATTTATTATAAAAATAAGATATAAAAAACAAATAAATATTTAAAAATAACGGTCAAATGAGAGAGTGATTCCGTAGAAATCATTGTGTAATCTTATAAAAGATATATTCATATAATATCTTCATTAACTTGGTTACAATGAGCTCGAACGTTTCGAACTATCTTCAGCGAAATAAAAACGGTAGATATAAAAATAAAAAACCGCATTAGAAAAATAAGATAAATAGAAGAAGAAACATTTTCGATGTTTATTAAAATCACCTTATATATTCTTTAGATATTTTTGTTTATTTAGAAGTATTATATTAACCAAAATGTAATTGTCTCTTTATTTTTTCTTCTTAATCCGTAATATTCATAATACGTGAAAATATTATGCTCTTATAAAACTCTTAGAGCTATCACACACAAAATGACATAAGCTGCATAAGATCGCTGAACCAATGATCGTTCAACAAAAAGACGCCATATTGATTTGGATAAGATGTTCATTGATCTAGTGATCTTATGCTATTACTTATGCAGCTTATGTCATTTCGTATGTGATGATTTAGGCTAGTTACTGCATAGTGTTTTCTTTAATTTTGGGATGTAATGGATTCTGTTCATCGCCTATCTCATTTTTAGACATTCAATTTGTATAAACGAGAATATCAAAAGCTCAAAAGTGTTAATACTCTACTAAATTATTATTCATAAATTATGGATAAGAGTTTAATATTACATAAAATGTCTTGAAAATCTTGTATAATTTGCTTGTTGAAAATACTATGCTCTTTGAGGAAATTCTTCAAAAGCTGACTTTCTTCTTTGGTAGTTCCATATTTAATCTTGAGATATAACGGATTAAAACTCTGTGTTGCAGTATTTTACAATGTCGAGCTAGTTATGTGAAATAATGAAGCTCGCAGGAGGATTGAGAGGAACGGACAAAAGGCCGATGAGTTTCGGTGTATTTTAGCAAAAGAGCGGAAAGGACCGTGTGAGAAGAGTCATGCGGCAAAGTAATTTCATCCTCACACACGGAAGCGGAAACGCACGAGCTGGAATCGCGCTACGGCACATAATGAAACGGCACTGTGCAGTGCATCCGAATTTCCGAAAGTTTATTCCGTTCGTTGCTCTACGACCCATTGCAGTTGCAACGAAACCAGATTGTGACACGCGAGTTTTGCGCTTATCTTTTCCTTTTTCCTTTAAATCTATTTTATTACTTTTTTTCATGTCGTTGACAATGCAATGATGTCTGATTTGTGCATTTCACGTGATGGAAATGAAAGAAATATAATAGATACACACACAAAGTTCTCAGAAATCCTATTTAAATAAATAAATAATCATTGTACACATTCACGTCGAGTAATGTGTGAGTTTGCAAAAATATATTTTATGAAACAGGATGAGAGAACAGAGAGATGGTTTAAATTTACTGTCACATCTTCTTTGGATATAATTGCAATTTAGATTGGCAAAAGATTAGCAATTAGTTAAACATTAAAATATTTATAATATTTATATTATAAGTAATTAAAAATCAAAGAACTTTTTAATAATTATAACAAATTAATATCTTTAATTTAATTAAATGCTATAGTTCGGGAACAGTATATCATAGACATTTTAAGAATTTATAAGTTCATTTTGATGGACAGCAAATAAATATACAAAACATGTACAGATTTTTTCAGAATACGGCAACAAGTTACATAGAATAGTTAATATAATATTACAAAGTTATAAGAGAAAGGATATTCAAATCCTCCTCAAAATTTAAAATCACCTTGTCTTTAATTTATATTCGAAAATCGTAAATTATTTTTTGATCAATTTCGTTGCAAACTGACATAAAAATGAAGATCTATCGTAAAACGATGCGAATGGTTTCCTATCGAACTAAACACAATTGATGTCCGCGATTGACCTTAAACCACGGAAGCAGTATTTTTTCATTAAGTTAACTTTTCCACGATTTTTCCCTTTATTAATTTGAAAAAAATGTTTCGCTGATGTCATTGTTATAACTTTGCCATAAAACGATGTATTATGTAAGTTGCTCATTCATTCACGAAAAGGACAAGATTGATAGCCGAAAAAATAATGATCACCACAGGATTGCAAGTACTACAATAATAGATGTAAGGAGAGTTTTGATTTGAGTAGCGAAAAGAAGATATGTAACAACGTCGCTCTATCCGGGTTTGTTCTGTCCTACTTCGTTTCTGGAGGAACGGCTTTTGTTCACTCTTGCCTGCCGATTCCCCTCTGGATCGGATCAGATTACCAGCCACGCTGAGGCGCTTTATCCCGAGCAATGCGGGTTTCCATTGCACCAAATCGGCGACGTAACGGGATTGAGGGTAACGACGGGCGATGCAATACCGACTTCGTACGCTCCCACGTTTTGTTCTCCTTTCCTTTCCCTCATCCTTCGCCTCATCTGTCCTTTTCTTGGTTTAACATACGATCCAACCGGCCTCCTTCGTTTCTCTTTGGCATTGAACGATTTTGTACCCGAATAGGATTCTCTTGCGGCAGGGTTGCGAAAAGGGATGCAAGCAAACGATCCTTCAATTTACCCTCTTTTTGGGTCGAGTTTTTAGTTCACACGCGCGAAACGTTTTGCACGTGTGAACTTTGCGCGGCCTGAGTGCGAATTCTGCTCGGATTAATTAAGCTTGTACGAGGTTGAGCTTACTGTGCACCATAGATGAAGCGATGAATATTTCAAGTTGGTATTCCAACAGGTAGCGGCTAATGCTGAAGTAGAAGGTTTCACGTGTCCAACCCTTGTCTTCTATGACATTGGGTCGTTATTAAAGTTTGTAAATTTATTAAACTTGTAGATTAAGTTTATTACACAATTTATATTAAAAATGTATTTATTGTTGTATTTATTATTGCTATTATAATTATAAATTGCTATTTCTTTCGTCGAAATTAAAGAATTTTAATCAAAATTTATTACTCCGAATATTGATCAATTTAATTGATTAGAAAATTAAATTCTTCTAACCCAAAAATTAAAAATATAACCTGATTAATTATTTTATTAAAATATTATAAAGTAAAATATTATAATATAAAAAAAGTAAAATTACGATATAAAAATATCTGATTACATGTACCTGTAGTTTATTTATTTCTTTTTGCACATTGCAACGTTGTTACGGTTTTATAAAGTTTCGTAAAAGTGTATCCATCAAAGGAACATAGAGCAACATTTGTGTTTCTATAAAAGTTGCCTGTTTCTGAAAAAGTTTCAGTACGTTTTTCGATATTCTGTATGCTCATTACCGCCAGAAATAGAAATATAAATTGCCTGTTTTCGTATAGAAGTAGTATAGGCAACAACGGACAACATTCTGTTTCTAGAACTTCTGTTGCTTCAATAACATATCATGCGCATCATGCGCTTTACGGAATGCAGCTTTTATTGGTCTGGCAAATACAATAGTTGTGGAAACAAATTGTTGTCTCAGTAACTAGAACAAAACTAAAATGTTCCTTTGAACTGAGTTTATTCGGTGGAGACAAATTATTTCTATTAGTTACTATCAATTATTATTATTTCTAGCAACAATAGACAAAAAACAGTTCCTCAATGTTGATCCTTTGGTGAATGAGCACTAAATCTGACTCTTAACTTTAAATGTGTAAGATATACTATATAAATTATATATAGAGGTACGTAAACATTTTGTTGTTGTAAATATCAGACAATTATAAAAACTAAAAAATGACTTACCATTTTCAAAAGAAAATAATAAATTTTAAATTAGACAAATTGATTCAATTTCACTCACCCGTAACAACGACGTTGATTTTCTTAACTAGCGGCGGATGCGTGGCGACTTGGCACTGATACAACCCCGAGTCGCGTGGGTTCGCGTAAAGTATCTGCAGTCTCCAATTGCTAGGATAGCTATGAAATCAGACAAGAAAGGACAAGATGGTAGAAAATGATCTTGAGATTCAGCTGAGAAATAAAAGAGCCACAAAAGATACATGCATCCCCTGACGGCACTGACATAGATACACTTGTAATTTGCAATGTAGTAACTGCAATGGAGGAAAATTGACATTTTATTTCCTAAGAAAGACTTCTGTAATAATACGCTCAACTTCAATGAACGGAAGCAGTAATGTCACGGCGCGAGACTTCATGTTACAACGTGGTCGATTCTGATTTTTACAGCACATAAAACGGCTGATTTAATCCTAGCGAAGGAAGACGAAAGCGAAATTCTTCATCCCTGCGAATGGCGACATCGAATTCGTTCTGACGACAGTAAAAATCAACTGATTGTGAGATGATAATTCAACTCTGACGACGCGATTACGCGGTTGGCTGCCATGAATGATAATGAATTATGATAATGACATTGACAATTTCGCCGCAGAGATTCTCTGATCGCTGAAATCGCGCTGTAATTCCGTGAATTCTTACTTTAAAAGTAATAAAATTATGCTACAAAATAATTCCAACCTCAACTATTGTTTTTTTTCATAAAATTGATACAGATAAATAAAGGAAGTTATGACTTACCGAAAATTAAGACTGATTCTTTGATCGTTGCTATACGGTGTTCTGCCTACTGTCAACAGACGAAAGAAATCCTTATTATGCTGCAACCACGTTACCTGTAAAAAAAAAACAATACTATTATTATCGGTAAATCTTTTCGCCGAACCATCATATATTTATTTTTATTACTATTAGTCTCTTCAAAATTAAATAATCACACAACATTTTTTATACATTTTATTTCATACAATTATTTTAAGATATTTAAAATTTAAATTTTTCAAAGAATTATTATGATTTCCGAAACAAATGCAACGGAAATATATCAAGAGATTACGCGTGCACGCTGGTTGAAAATTAATAATTCCTTTTGCTCTTAGATTTCCAAAAAGACAGCTAACAATTTCTGCGCGAAGCTTCGTGTATGTCAGCAATAAATGTAGACAATTTACGCGAAGCTCGATATTCGCCCAAGGAAGTGTTGATTTAAAGCTCATTTACACGATACGATTATTAAACAATAGTTTGTAGAAATTAAATTATACCAAACTCGTATATCTAACAATTGCTTCTTAAAAGAGCAAGTAGATATAATCACAATTTAATTATTTCGAGTGTACTTTAAAAAACTGCATAAAGAAAGTTAGTTTTCATTAATCCTTTTGTCTCTTATTTTTATATCAAACTTTTTATTAAATTCTAGTCAATTTTTATTTCATTACTGTCAAATATTTAACAGTACGGTAATCATGTTTTTGCCATTTAATCCTTGAGGATCAAAGTTTTCTAAAAAAAGTAATTTATGGAAGATCTTATTTTCTTTAACTTTCTAAAGGTTTTCGGGGTCGCTGAATTTGATTCTAGTTTCAAAATTCTAAAATTCAAATTTTAAAAAATATCCGATTATCGAAAAATTCGATTTTAGGGAATTCTTGGTACTTCCGAATTTAAATGTAGCCTGAAAATATCGAATTTTAAAAGGATAGTAACTTCCATGAAGGAAGCTCTAATGTCACAAGGTTCATAATCAAAGTTTGAATGTTAGTTTGGAAATCAGTGTGCTAACTGTTTACGTATTACTGATGAGTTTCAAATAAGGCAAAACTGAAAACTTGATGTTATATACTTCATAATTAAAAACTCTCTAAAACCAAGTTTTATAATAATCAAATTATTTTTTGAAAATTCTGTCCACCATATTGAATCCATCACTTTGAATTTTTTACTTTTAATTTCAGGTTTAAATAAAATATTATCAAATTACTCCGTATAAGTTATAAAAAAATTAAACAAGAAGTTTACAAAATAAAATAGGGTAACCCAAAACAGAATCGCCGATCTACAGAGTTAAGTAAAAATTTCAAATCATTATCGTAATTTATCTAATTAACTGGACAAAACTGTGATAATTTCGATACGGTTTATAATTGATTTTGTAATTGCTCTAGCAAAACTAAAACCTACATAGTGCAATCTGGTTTTTATGCTGTCTATAGCGATGTTTCCACTATATCCTCTTTCTGCACAAAGTTTTCTCTCGAGATTCGACCTCATACCATACGTGCCAACCGACGCAATAACGGGATATCACAGGACAAGTTATCACGGTTTGTCATCGCAGATAAAAGTCTATCTCGCGAAAACTTAACGTCGACGACGGAAATATTAACCGTCCGGAGGATTTCGTAGATACGCCGAATTATATTATGGAGAACTTTCTGTCGAAGGAGAAACGGAGAAAATGATTTCTGGTATCGCGAATCACGTACAAATCACGATGCGTGTCGAATTAAATTTGTCGTCAAAAAAGTTATCTGGATAAAAGTCAGTGAGTTCAAGAACAGCCGCTGTAATAGTTCTTTAACATGACGAAATTAATAAGAGTTTAACTTTTATTTAAGTTAAAATGGCGTGACGCCAGAAGGAAATAAATCGTGTAAAAGTATCTTTAAAACCAACTAGATGGCTATTATAAATATTAAAAGTACACTTAATATATATGTCAGATTAGATAATAAATTATTCTAATATTACATTTTCTAATTAAATAACACAGTTAAGTATAAACTATTATCTTCATTTCTATTTTAAAAGTTTAAATTAATCTCACGTACGTATAATTCACAACGTATAATATATTTTGTTTTTCTTTTCATTAAAGTATCAAGTTAAAAAAAATTCAGATCTTAATTTAAAAACACACAACGTTTCTAATTTTATTCTTTCTTGATAAACTATTTTCGAGCCGTGTGACACCGTTTTCAGTATAATTACAAATGTACCATGCATTTTGTGTAATAATGCTTATATTATAAAGGAATCATTTTCTCTACTCAAAAAGTCATGATTGTGTGTGCGAGTAAACATTTAATACAAACAAATATTTCCTCGAGTAATCTTTCTCCTCGACGTCTTAAGTAGCCGTTTTACTAAAAGGACTGAAACGACTTGGCAAACGGCATGAGCGATATTTCATAATTAAGTGCCCTTTGAACTATTTGCTATTCTTGGAGCGCGCGGCGCGTTATACTACACGCATATTTCTCGTATACCAACGACCTAGGTGACATTTGCACACACACGTCTCGAATCGGGAGCACTCGTTTTCGTTCCTTGGCATTGCCGTCCCACCGCAATCGGTTTCCCATTACGTATTCCGTGGAATATGAATCCCACGGGAATCTCAAACGCCCGTGTCTCGGAACTTCAAACCGTCCAAGCGTGACGAGGAGCAAATGGACACAGAAATCAAGGAGAAAGGAACAGGGAGATACCGAGAGATAGCACTGATTGAAATGCGAAAACTTTCGTAACGACAAGACAGACGAGATCGTACACGCAGCAGACACTAACAAACGATGTTTGCAATTATAATTTGCGCTTCTGCTTACTCGATGCTGCATCTTTCTTGCTTTACCATCTCGATCATTGCGTTTTCCTCTCGATTCATTATTTAACGGAAAAAAATGCACGATCTTCTTGATTAGACTAACTGAGTTCGCGCAATCTTTCGATTTTCTTTTTCTTAATTTCCTAGGCTTTAATTTCTTTAAGTTTGATAAAATAAAGAAAATTAATTTTAAATTATGGAAATATGGAAAATTTTAAAATCAAATAAAAGGATTATACGAAGATTCGATTATATTATTCCAAGCAGGCCCGACAAGACGGGGAGAAGATTTATTCTTTTTAGCTGAATTTCTTACATAATTTATCTTTCTTTCTTCCTTTTTTCTTTACATTAAAGAAAAAAAGAAAAGAGAGAAAGATGAACTGTACAAAAATCCTAGTATACAAGAGGTGTCAAAGTCTCATTATAAACGCTTTTAATCAGAAAAAAATTTTACTATTTAATAATAATAATTGACCAGTTAAAAGTGAATATTCTGTTTCATGCAAGCGACAACTTGCAATAAAAAAAATTGAATAAAATTTTTATATAAAAAAATCATGACCATTTTGAATTTTTTAAATAATACAATTCAATTTTTTTCGTATTGTAAAGGACTTTTAAACGAATTCAAAGCACTATCAGGAATGTCACTCACGCGTTAAGCATTAAGTGCTAACAATAAGTGTCAAACAAGTGTTACGAACACATGTGTGAATTACTGACTAATCCACTGTCCAACAGAATATAACACAGCGTCAATAGATATTAAAAACGAGCAACGTTTCCTCCATGCTATTCATCGCTTTTGCTGCGTAACGTTCTGGATTATTGCACGACAAACTGTCATCGATGAAATAAAAATATCTGACTCAACGCATCAATTTTTCCTTTATTATTTACCCGTTTGTTATATGACAGGTTGCGGTTTATAAAGTTATAACAAAAATTTGATCATTTTGCCGTTATTTGACATTTTTCTTATAACAGAAGAAAAATTAACAAGATTAACACAGAGAATAAAGCAACTCACCTTTTTATCACCTAACATGCCGATCTTGCAGTCCAACAAAACAATACTGCCGATTCTCGCGGTGACATTTATCTCTCGGTCACCGTCCTCAAAATATGGACCGAATTTTCCGAAAGCGCTATCGACGCTAGGCAAGACGAACTTTCTGCCCGACAATGTCCTGTGAGTGGTTATCTGGAACTGATCACGACCGCGCTCCGTTTCGAGAGTCCTGATCGACGGTTTAATCTCGTAGAAGGCCTTCGTCGACTTGCCGGTCAGCAGCAAGTTATTCGCCGGTCTAGTGTGATTTTTTTTGGTTTCGCTGAGTTTTCTCGTTTCGTCCATGTGACCGACGCTAGTTTTCCCCTGTTGTCGGCTGTCCTGATAGTCTTCCTCCTTCTCATCTGGTGGCGGTACTTGGAATGAGATCGCTCTGATATCTTGCGCATTTTTCTGCTCGCCATATCTCACTTCCGTAACGTCTTCCTCTTTCGCTACCGATATCAGTGTCAACCAGTCATCTTTCGGCTTTTCCATCTTGGAGTCGTTCGTTCCTTGAACATCTTCGTGATCCAGCTTCTTTGCCAGAGCCTCTTCCGCCTGTTCCGAGTTCTCGATCCTCTTCGAGGCGAATATCATTTGATCGTCTATATAATTCTTCGATGCATTCTCGAAATGCGAATCCACCACGGAAACGAGCGAGGGCAAATCCTTTATTGAGTACTCAACCGTAAAAGCGGAAATGACTTCCTCGAGGGCTGTTGTGTCGTTGCCGCGAGACCAGCCGGCGGTTTCGATAGTGCGATTTTTCGCGATTCTCTCGTCGAGGCGTTGATCTTCCTCGTCAAGATGATTAATGCCACGCTCGATGGCGCCATTCTCCGCTTCTACAAGAAGAAAACAAACAATCATATTAACGATAAGTAAGTTAAATCGGAACGGATGTATGCGGATGGTGGGCGGGAAATGTAAGGGTGAACACAGGTTCGTCGGTCGTGTCGAGGGTGAATCGACATGCCGACGAGGCGGAGCGTTCACTGCGCCGAGATTTATGACTTGGAACGGAGTAGGATGATCTCCGGTCGGAGCGAAGATTTAAATGTGAACGTAAGAAGTGTGACTAGGATTTTTATGGGACATTTAAAAGGCTCTTAGAGGAGAGCCAATCAAAATCTCAGATTTAAAAATGTTATAAAGTGAGACAATACATTCGAATCGTTTCATTTGAAAACGACGTAGGTAAGTATGCAAACTCGAATATTACTAAATTCAGTTATACTTTCATTCAACTAACAACCGTATATTTCTGTGACGAAGACACAATACACTCTTAATAACAAAAATTTAATAAGATTATATAATTCGTACAATATTTCTCAATATTTCCTATAATTCTAAGCTATCGTTTCCGTAACATAGAACAAAAGCCGAAAATCTGCGCGACATCCTGTTCACTTGAAAATTCCATGCGACGAAAGCCACGTGATAATAACAACGTGTAATTCCTTTGTGCGCTACACAGCGACACGTATTTTCAGCGAAACAAAAGTGCTGCGGGTTTACTTCCGCAGGAATTTCATTTCGCGACCGTGCGTACCATGATCGTGCTTTTATTTGCGAAAGCGCTGGCAAAGTTTCCGGTATAAGGTTTCGTTTCTCCTGTGGCTTCGATCGCAATCAAAGTCCATGAGAAAACTCGTGATAAACAAGTCTTTTGAAAACTTCACTCGGCACTTTCTGTCATCTAACGAAATTTACTTCAGCGCGATCAACATTTCTCTTTATTGGATTAAAAAACTATTCTATTGTTAACAAAAGTGGACGGCTTTTTTATGGAATAGTTAAAAAGTCCATACACATAGTTCAACTATATTTTTGGACAATTTATTGTAAATCGAAAACTTTATGTTTTCGTCGAGTAAGATCAAACTTACAAAAGAGCCACTTTGTTAGTCATAAAGATACAAAAAAAAGTTTAACGAAAGACTAAACGATGTATGTACACTTAAATAAATAATTATGAGAATATGAAATTCTTCTAAATAAATTTTGTAAGGAAATAAAAATATATTCTACATTTGTATAATTTTTTATATTCAAGTAGAATTAATATCTTGATATATCGTTTTATTCATTTACAGAAACGATCTACAAAAAAGATATATTCGTAATAATAATAAAAACGCTGTAGTGTTATTTATTGTGCAATAAAACCGTATCGTCACGAGCGTAACGTAGATTTGTTGATGTTCTCGTACACGTCGTACGATGTCTGACAATCGTCGCAATCCTATTTACGCAAGTGGATATTGCTCTCACAACAGTAATAGTTGCTATGAATATATAGAGCGATTACCTCACCACTGCTATATAGTATCTGTCCATAGTGAAAAGGAAGAGAATTATAAAATTGCTGTCTACTGTAACTTTTGTCAGAAAATGCTCTATTTCCCTCTATATCTCCCATTTTGTTATTACTCGAAACTACAGGCTTTTATATAGTTCTTTAGGCATTTGTTCTTCAATTTTCTTTACTTCGTGACAAGACGCCACATCAGTTCAGCCTTATCCCTTTCATCTTCGCAACTCTTGCGGAAAATTGAAGATCATCAAATCACCACAGAAAAGGAAGAAAAACGTAGCTACCATGTGCTCTTCAATCTTGTCAAGTCTTTTAACGTTAGTATATTTTAAATAAATACAAATTAATTTTGTCTGTACTAACATCATCAAAAATGTTCCAAAATTATCAAACTGTTAATAATTTGTAAAAATGTTTAACTTGGAAAAAATTAATCACATTATCTTTACTTAAAAAATTATAATATTTCTAATACAAACTAATATTTGTGAGAAAAAAGAAATTTATATTAGCTAAAAAATTCCATGAATATGATTTATAAAAGATATTCAATCAGCAAATGTTCAATTAGAGCAAATCATTTTCCAAATTTTTATAGCTTTCTATAACTTTAAATTAAAATTTATTCCTTGTGTAACTAATGTGTATAAATATTTTTTTTTAGAGCTATTTTTACCTTGACAACCACTATTGCTGTATACAAGTTTGTAAAAATTTCCGAAATCACCGATCCCGCCGATTGTCCGGAAAATGTGCAAACGTCAGCGAGCCGATATATACCGCGATATTTGGCGTTGGCGATCTTGTTTAGACGAATCGATATTGCTAGCCACGCCGATAGCACAGGCTGTAATAACAACAGCAACAGCAACAGCAACAGCAACAGCAACAGCAACAGCAACGACAACGTGACATTCGTTCGTCGTTCGTCGTTCGGAAGCAATTTAGCGCGCGCTTTGCGTCGCGAGTGATCGATCGATCGTGTCGAGCAACGCCGTGTAATTTTGGCTACCGACGACGTTCGTAATGATTTATAAAACGGCAGACGTGTATACAGAGATTTCAGTGGAAAATTCGAAGATCGCTAGATTCTCTGGTGCAATTTTTGCTTGCAGACAAATCAATCTATCACAATTTATTTACTTCGTGCTTTTACTATAGTCAAGCGCCGCATATATTCTTAAGAAAATATATAAAACAATTTATAGAACGGATGTACAATGATTTCTGTGAGAATTCAAGAAATCTTCTGAACAATTCTTTCTTGTAGACAGTTCACTTTATCATCATTTATTTGCTCCATATTTCATATCAACGTTGTACTTAAAAGAAAATATTTTTGAAACTACATATTTTTGAAACCGACATAGAATTTAAATTGTTATTCCAGCACATTCCAATTCTGTTTGATTAATTTCCGATGGTGTTATCAAAGTTGGCATATTAATCTTTGCTTTGTCAGGATTACACGCGTATTACTATTCGTAGCAGTCCGATCTCCGTGAACATGCTCCGAATAACACGTTCTGTGATAACAGATAAGGTGCTCGCTCGTCTCGGGTTTTGCTGCCAATCCGTCCGGGAAAGCTTTTTCTTCAATCTCTCGCGCCCTGAATACAAGCGATTGTGCGAATGATTGATTGCCATCGTACGATACGCCGCGCTGGTGGTGGCCGGAGCTTAAAAGCGCCATTGCTTTAGGAGTGCAAGTGATTCGCGCAAAATTTCGGCTATTAGCCCGGCGCGATACAGCCCACGCCGTAAAATGAAGATACACTTCGCGTTTGTTCCTTGTGATTGATAGCCTTCGAACGGGTCTGTGTAACCGATGCATAAGTAACGTATCATTTTTCATTCGCCGCGTCTGCAAATTTCGCGTCTAATTCCCTTTTCTATCTTCGAGCCGAGCGCGTTTTCAGGCCGCTACGATCGAGCGGACGTGCCGAAGTAACGTGGTGCACCTATCTCTGCACTCTGCAATTTGTCAGCAAGGATTTACGCTTGTCACGTGTGATAGACAAATTCGCGAAACGTGCGAAGAAGGAAATTTCGCAGATTATTCCTGTGGGCGCGACAGATGCAGTCCCAGATGGACGTCGATCTTTGAAGCGTTGAATTAAAAGTAAGTTTTCAGAGTAAAAATCTTGATTCGAAAAAAGACAGATATTTTTACAAGATAATATTAGCAAAAGAGAAATGTTAACTTGTTATAATAATTTTATGATTTTCAATGTAATAATAAATAAAATTCTCTTTTCTTCAAATTTCCATTTATATAATTTTAAACTTATATCTCAAATAATTAAAAATTTAAGATGTTAAATCTTACGAATATATTACTTATTTCTTTATCACTATTTGTTTCTGATACCATTTAGTTTCAAACTTATGTATGTGTTACGTACATAATTTACATCAATTATTATATATTATGTTCAATATTATAAGTACTTTTGTTCTGAATGTCAGTTTCTAGCAAGTATATATAAAATTATATTAATATTGACATAATTTAATGCTATAAATCTATTGCTTATTGTTCGTTCCTTTTACAGAAAAAGAAATATATCACTTAAAATTGGAGTTGTTATGATTCATGGAAATGATAATGCTTTTAGTTGTAAAAAAGCTGGTAACATTAAGCGCAATCTCGTTATCCGGTACTTTCAGGTTTCGTAGGGTGCGCGGAACTGCGTGAAAGGGCATTCGCGTACCAAATGGTGATTGCTAGGAAACGCAAGAAAGTAAATTCCGGTGGGGTTATCTTCGTATAAAGCCTGTATAGAACAACTGGCACGGTAGCTACAGAAGAATTTCGCCCTCTTTATTCTGCCAAGCACGGCCGTTTTCCATTGTTCTCGACGCTTACGGCACAGTTAGACATTCAGGTTAATTAAAAATTCTTGCATCCCCCGTTAAACTGAGACAAACGAATCGTTCATTTGTTCGCAATAATATTCTATCACGAGATTACTCAATCAGAAAAGTATCATAAATTTATCGCAAGCACAGGTTGAATTTATAGTGCGTATAGTAACCTTGACCTTAATTCAATAAAATCATTTGATTCTTAATTAATTTTTATTTTTATTTTTTCAATAATAATAAATAAAATTGCATTAGCCGAATATAAAAGTAATTATAAAAAAGTAGGTACTCAAAATTAAATTAATTTTGAGTAAACAAAACTAATTAATTTAAATTAATTTTTTTAATATATGGTATTAGATTGTATTATAGTAAATTATATAAGTTTTAGCAGGTGTTTTATAAACTAGTATTAAAATTAAAAACGTCACAATGTATATGTATGAGTAAAACTACACAATGAATCGCCTACCTGACGCAGTGACAATAATCATGATAGAGACAATGGCGATGACGCCGAGCACCGAGGCGGTCGGCTGCATTCTCCAACCGGTCATCACGAGGATCCACGCAATCTCAACCCTCAGGAACCTGCTCCATCTCGTTCATCTTCCCTCTAGGCAAAAAAGAGAATATCCTTCTATTAATGATAAAAACCGAATAAATAGTAAAAATACAAATTAATTTTCAGAATTACAATACATATTCGACAAAAAAAGCGATGTAAAGGTAATAAGTTTATTTTAATATATTTCTTGTAATGTGTGTGTGATCACAAATACAGTACATTTTTCTTCTAATTCCAAAGAAAAGAGCAAAATCAAAATATTTAAAACTTTTTATAAAATATAAACATATTTTTAATACATCTTTATGTGTTTGCATTTTTTTCTTTAGAAAAAAAAACATTTTTCTATAGAATAGTGTTCCTAAATTTGTATTATCTCGCTAAAAACAAAATATTTCCAATTAACTTCAGCATAACACAATGAGAACATATTTTTTACATTAAATTATCTTCGCGAGATCGAATACCGAAATCACAAAACTTGTTTTGTTTTAAGGTAGTAGAATTAAAGTTTGTTACAGGATTGAATTTCCAACTAAGTGTTGTTAAAAAAGTGGGGAGGATTGAATTTCCAACTAAGTGTTGTTAAAAAAGTGGGGAGGATTGAATTTCCAACTAAGTGTTGTTAAAAAAGTGAGACGGTAGATATCATAACTTCTACAGCTCAAGTTTTAATCGTCGATTGTAATGGGTACTGTAACAGTAGACAAACTTCCATATCGTTATATTGTTGTAAAAATGCAATGTTATATCTTCTTCTAAGTTACAAATTATAAAATAAAGAAAATGGGAAAATGTAAAAAAAATAATAACGATCTTTTTCTGTGTAATAAGCAATACAAATTATTAGAAATATTTTTTAACATGAGCTTATATAATTATTTAGACACTATACTATTTTAAGTTTTTTAATAAAATGATAAAGATTAATATATAAATTAATAAATATATTATAATAAACATAAAACTATATTTTATATTAATATTATTTATATTAATATTAAGTTCTATTGTAACAACAAAAATTAAAATGTCATGTCTCTATTATTTTGTTTACGATTCTCTATCAATTCTCTCTCCTCTCTCTTTCAACTATTACATCATTTCATAAAATTTAGTTTTAATTAGAAAATAAGCTGTATATCAATACTGTTAATCTTAGTTTCGTAAAATAATACGGAGCAAAAAATAAACAACTTTTTGTGTCATTTATAAATTTGTATAATCAACATGCGATCTATTGTTAACGTCATTATAATTATAATATTTTAATATAAAGATTTTAATATAAAAATTAGTTTCACAACATCAAAATAGCATTTATAAAATTGGACCAATTCATAGGAATTCTTCTAAAAACTAATTCTCAGAAATGTTATCTGAAAATTGTCTACAATTTCATCATATTAATGGATACGAGTGAATAAACTTAGATTACGCAAGTGAATTTACCGCACATACATATGATAGAAAGTACAACACGTAAAAATGATGTTAATAATAAATTAATTTCATCTCTCTTGAAGGGCCTAATTCTCGACATACCCTTTTCTTTCTTTACACACACA